AACCTTTCCCCCCGGGGGTGTTTTTTTTTTTTCTTTTTTTTTTTTTTTTTTTTTTTTTTTTTTTTTTTTTTTTTTTTTCGGTTGAAGTGTAACGGTAATATTATCATTGATGCCGTCTAAACTTTAAAATCATTAAGTTCATTATTAATTTATCTCTTAAATTTTAAAAATTTTCATTGTACTCTTTAAGTTTTGAATTGTTTCTATTTAACCCATTGTACTGTAATTTTAATTAAAAACATATAAAAAAAGAGAATAATGTAATTAAGTGGTCTTTTTATTTAAATTTTTATTAAAAAGAAATAAATAAAAATCAAATGATCACATTTAACGTTATTTGTTTTTGTTTAACTTTAAGAGAAATTATAATAAAAAGAATTAAAGTAAGAATAATTTAAAATTCATAAGATAAAATGAGAGTTTTTAAAATTTAAAAAATAAATTAAAAATAACTTAAAAGTTCAAGACACCATAAAAATAGTCCTTATTTAAAAGTAAAAGTCTTTCTTATAATGGTCGTCGTAAAAAATAAATAAAGAACGAAGAAAGTCTCCGAAAGACAGACATTTGTGCTTCCCTTGGTGATGGTGATTGGGGACCGGGTTCTGTACTTTGTTTGGCCACCGGGTTCTGTACTTTGTGTGGCAACACCCGACAGGCATTAAATTTGGGGTTTAAGATAAAAATTGCTGGTATGTCGACTAGAAAGGGGAAAAGAATCCTTAGGGCAAATGTTTGAAAATTTTAGGTTACGTTTAGTATAATGGTTTCAATTAAAGTGATTTTAGTTTTAAAACTAGAATTATGATTTATAGTTTGAGTTTAGGGTCTAAATTATAATTTTAGAATCAGAATTAGAGATTTAAACCATTCAAAATTAAAAGGGAGGTGGTTTTATTTTTTAGAGTAGTTCTGATTAAAACATCACATCAGAATTCAAATATTAAATTAGAACCGGCCAAACTAAACACTTAGGCTTCGTTCACTTCGCGGATTCGAGTTGAGATGTGACATTTTGTGAAAACTTTTCACTATAGCAGAAAAAATTAAATGTGATATTTTTTGAGAGTTTTTTACTGTAAAAATTTAAAACTGAAAACTCGAATCAGTGAAATGAACGATGCCTAATTTTCAATAACTATTTTTATAAAAAATAAAGATTTAAACTAGAATTCTGATTCCGGTTCTAGAACACTCATACCAAATGTAATCTCAACCTTCCGAGATTTGATATATCTTGTCTTGTGTATGCTAAGTAAGCAGGTTCAATCTAGTTGGTGGTGCTCATATCAAATGTAATGTTAGGGTTTAACGTTTAGTCCGTAAATGTACTTATCAAAACAATAATAATTGTGAGATAATATACTATATACCCTTAAAAAAATATGATGTATAATAACACAATAAAATGAACTGGGAGTTAGAGTTGCTTTGAAACCATTTCCTTCATGCAAAAAATATATATAAAAAAACACAAAAACAAACAAAAGAAATTTGGGGACCATTTGCAGCTTTGTGTGTGTATTTCCCTCCCCCCTCCCCCCCCTTTTTTAAGGACATAACCTTCAAAAATTCCAAAACACACTTTTAACTGGCAGAGGATTAAAAAAAAAAAAAAAAAAAAAAAACTTGCTGAGGGTAATACTTCTAAATTTAGCACGTGATGATTGGTTGAAGTTGAACGACGGACAAGTGGTGGAGTTGAGCATATGTTGGGTAGCAAGGGAACACACACTAGACTTGCCTCCAAACCTTAAAACCCATTAATAATGACTCTTTTTCTAATATTATTTTATCTCTCTTTTAGTGAAGAAACCTCATGAATCTCATGGTTTTCTGATCCTTAAATCAAACCAATAAGCTAATCAGACACCGCCAGTTTACACTCTCCTACAGATGAGCGGTCCAGATCTTCTACAATATGATTCGTTGACTCAGCAGTCTTCCATCGTTCTGTAATCAAGTGGGCCCACCCTTTCTGGGCCGTGCTGACGTGGACGGCCCAGATTTGACCTCCTCCTTTCCTTCCTTTTTCTCCCTTCCTCCTCTGTTACTCCTCTCACATTCTCTCTCTCTCTTTCTGAATTCAGAAAACCCAATTTCCGAATTCCGCTATGAATTAACCTCATCAGCTCAAATTCACCAGAAAAATAAAAACCCAGATTTCCAATTCAAGCATGGCGGAAAACGCAGTGTCGTCCCCGAAACCCCTCCAGACCCCGAACCCCAACGGAGACCCAAATACAAATACGACAACGGCGACGCCATCAACGACAGCCAATGTGACGAACAACGCCATGAATTTGCAGAACTCCTCGATGAACCCGCAAATCCCTTCCCCTTCGGCCCTCTCCCAATCCCCTCAAATCTCGTCCCCTCCTCTTCCGCAGCAAATTCCGCCGGCCGTCGGATTAGATTACCAACAGTCGAAGCAATCTCAGCCGTTGGTCCAGCAAACATCGCAGAATGTGAACCTCTCGATGTCCAATTACCAGCTCCAGCAGTGCCTCCAGAGGTCTCCGTCGATGTCGAGAATGAACCAAATTCAGCAGCAGCAGCAGCCGCAGAGTCCGCAGCATATGGGGGTCAATGTGATGAGGCAACAGGCGGGCTTGTACGGCCAGATGAATTTCGGTGGGTCCCCTGTGATTCAGCAGCAGAGTAATCAGCAGCCACAGCAGCCGCAGCAGCAGCAGAATCAGCAGCAGCAGCAACAGCAGAATAATCAAATCAGCGCCGCCGCTGCCGCCGCGAATTTGTCGCGGTCGGCTTTGATCGGCCAGAGTGGCCACTTGCCCGTGTTGTCCAGCGCCGCGGCCGTGCAGTTCAATTTGCAGAACCAGCTTCTCACCTCGGTATCAATCGTTCGTGTTTGTTTTCTTAGGAGAGAACTTCTGTTTTTGGAAATACTGCCATTTTTTTTTTTTTTTGGAAATCATGGTAGAATGGTACGAAAATAATATCCTAATTTTTGTAGACTTCGACAATATGTGAAAACTGGATGGGTTTTAAAATAGTAACGTAGTCATAGAAAAACAAAATCCATGTAGAAATTAGCTTTCTAAATAAGTGTGATTTGGGATTTTGTGCTACTTTTTGATGTTAATAAATAAGTGGCTGAGTGAGTTATTGAGTAAATATTTAGGTGGTGCGCTAGCCTTACAGTTTAAGGTTTGTGTTTTCTAAATTAAGATTTAGTAACGAAAGGGAATTTTGTATGCAGCCAAGGCACAAAGCTGCATTAGTACAAGGGTCCCAGTTCCATCCAGGTAATTCCGCTGGGCAAACCTTGCAAGGAATGCAAGCAATGGGGATGTTGGGATTGAGCTCACAAATAAGGTCTAATGGGGCTCTCGCCTCTTACGCTCAGCAGCGAATAAATCAGGGCCAGCTGAGGCAGCAATTATCACAACAAAACGCGCTTAACTCTTCACAGGTATACGATAGCTTTGCGCTTTACCATGTTGCTTTGGTGATTCCAAAATCTTTCTATTATATCGTCTTTTGCCGATTATATTAATGTTTTGTCTTGTTTCACACTTCATGTTAATCTTTAGATCCTTATGTGTAAGAAATATAGTCCGTTATGAAGTACAAACCACCTACATTAATTGATTGGTAATGTTATGTTCTGCATTTTAACTTATTTGACTGATCCCATGGGTTCCTTTTTGATCCACAATGAGATGATGCTCATACATGTCAAAAATGTATTCTGTTGGATCTTCCATTAGTACTCTGACCTTGTTTACCTAATACATTAACCCCGTTTTTTCTAAGCTTCATTGTCTGTCTATAGTATCATTGTTTTGCTCCTCCAGACAGAGATCTATTTATATCGTTTGTCGATCTTAGAAGCATTATAATGCTTGGTTCTCCAGGATTGGCGTATCTAATATCCATTATTGATTATTGCTTATCCACTCTAATTTCACAATGCTCAGGTTCAAAGCTTACCAAGGACGTCATCACTTGCATATTTGAACCCTCAGCTATCTGGGTTGTCTCAGAATGGACAGCCAGCTATGATGCAGAACTCATTGTCACAGCAGTGGTTGAAGCAAATGCCATCAATATCTGGCCCTGGCTCACCTTCATTCCGTCTGCAACAGCAGAGGCAGCAACAGGTTCTCTTGCAGCAGCAATTGGCCTCATCGTCTCAGTTGCACCAAAGTTCCATAGCCCTAAACCCGCAACAGTTATCGCAGATTGCACAGCAGCAGCAGTCACCAATGGGGCATCCGCAGTTGCATCAGCAACAGCAGCAACCGCAACAACTGTCACAGCAACAGTTACAGCAACAGCCACAGCAACTACAGCAGCTGCAACAGCAACAATCACAACAACAACCTCCCATGCATATGCAACAGCAGCATTCCCCTAGGGTTCATGGGCCCTCAGGCCAAAAGTCTCTTAGTTTAACAGGATCACAACCCGATGCTACTGCATCCGGAACAACTACACCAGGGGGGAGTTCAAGCCAAGGAACAGAAGCGACTAATCAGCTTCTTGGAAAGAGAAAGATACAAGATTTAGTCTCACAGGTATCTCGTGAATTTTCACTCCACTATTGCTTTGTTATTGATTTCCAATTATATCGAGCTGTTATTTGCTAAATTTCCTGTTCAGATAATTATTCACTGTCATATCCTTTGCATGTCCAGGTGGATTCACAGGGAAAATTGGATCCTGAAGTTGAAGACCTCCTTTTGGAGATTGCTGATGATTTCATTGACTCTGTGAGATTTGTTATCCCAACTTTCTTTCCATACATACTTTTCCCTGGATATTTGTTTGTGTGTGTGTATGTTTGTTTGAGACAGACAGATCTGGAGGTTGAATCCTGTGTCTCTTGATTATCTCTTTAATGCTTTATGTCTGTTTCTTTTTTTTTTCTTTCTCCAAAATTTTGTTAAGTGTTGATTTCTCTAGTAACATAACTTTAGAAGGAAAGTATGGGAAGCTTTTGCAGGGATCTTGTGGAAGAATTCAATAGATATGTATATTATATACTCGTGGTAGACAGTCTGGCATGTATCAGAATCATGATATTCCTTGATATGGTATTTTGTGCTTAGTCTGGAGATATGGTATTTTGTGCTTAGTCTGGAGATTTGTGGCTCTGTAGTTCTGTAAGCTTTTGGAAATTGAAACTATACTTCGCTCTAGATCTTTTTGGAACATTATATGATATTTTCTGGTTTCCAACTGTATTCACTTTCCCCTCATGTTGTGTTGGCATTATGCACAAATTGATATAGAAAACAAACACATATGGTTAGATTCAGTGGCATTATTGTAAGAAAGAGCCACATTTTTACAGTTGGATCGTTGGAATTTCAACTCTGAAGAAATACCCATCAGATAGCTGACCCATAAACCCATGGACATGGTGTCGTGTGCTTTATAGCTTATTATAATATAGTCCACTTTTTGTCGAAAGCCCATGTTTTATGTTCCTTTTTTTTTGGCAGAGATTTTCAAGGTTTTCTGATAAGTACATATCCCATCTATTTGCAGGTGACAGCATTTGCGTGTAGCTTGGCAAAGCATAGAAAATCTTCAACTCTAGAGTCAAAGGATTTATTGCTACACTTAGGTCCGTACTTTTGCCTTGTTGGAATGTTTGGGATGCGTGTTACTTACCATGTCTGGAGTAATTAGTTCCTCCCTGAACTACTTGTGCAACCTTGCTTCTGAACTTTATCTAGGGGAAATGAGACAAATACCCTTAGAGGGCATGAGTCTGGATTTTTATTAATATCTTTTTTAGTCAAGTAACTATATTAGTCAAAAGGGTTTTAATTAAGAGTAAGGGTAAAAATCCAGACCCATGTACTCGGGTAAGTTCAACAATTTTCTCCTTTAATTGTCCATGACATGACTTTTGGTAGAGTTTTAGTGTTTTCTAGTCTCAAATACGTGGTACACACACACACACACACACACACACATGCGGGGCTTCCTTTGGGTTTAGAGATTAAAGTTATAAGATTTCTAGCGGAACAGTGAACTCATTTTTCTTGAAGCAGTCAGAGCTTACTAAAGTAATGTTTTGCAGAAAAGAACTGGCAGTTGACTATTCCAGGATTTGAAGAGCAGAAGCACCAAAACAAACTTGTAGGTGTTGATGCTTTCCATAAAATTGTGTGAAGCATGTTTGATTTATCCTTTTTCATTCCTTTTTCTTCTTTTGGCCAATTCTCCAGAGCTAATGTTCATTATCACATTGGGCTCAGCTAATGTTCATTATCACATTGGGCTCTAGAAGCACTTTGTGAATATCTTAAATCCTGACTAGCTTTCAAATACTATCGACTTCCTTGAATGACTTATGTGAATATCTTGATTCTAAACATGCAGTTGTCAAGTGATGTCCACAAGAAACGTTTAGACTTGGTAAGTGAGAATTTTCTACGTGTTTTTTGTTTATTATACACTTCCTTTGGAATAAAAGTATGTTCTAAACTAATTGCTATTTCCATGATCAGGTAAGAACGCTAATGGAATCCTCACAGTCCGAAGCAAATACAGCTAATCGTAAAGAGATGATTAGTAGACAAGGGCTTGGCAACCCAGTTGGGACCAACCACGTGATAAGGCCTTCCCTGAGTTCAGAGCAGTTGATTTCACAGTCAACTGGTTCTCAAATGCTGCAACAAATGACACGGTTTTAATCAGCTAGTTTGTATTTCATTTGGTCTTCTTGCTGATTGAATATAATGCCTGGACCTCCTTGGTGAGCATCCTTATTTCTCAAGTTCCATTTCTATTCTCTCCTTAGATAATTGCATACATGTGGAAAAACCTGAGAAAATTGTATTGAATTTATGTGATTTACAAGAGTCTCTGATGGACTATATATACACGGATTTCAGAGAGAAAAGAATGGCAACTATCTAAAAAAGGAAACTCTATAATCAGGGATTCCTGATTTTCTGTCTTTCGAATCCCTAAACTTTAGGAAAAAATATTCACATGATTCCTAGTGCTAACAGACCGCTAATCAAGGAGAGGAAAAAACTGTATCTTTCCACACTCCCCCTCAAGCTGGTGAATAGGTATCACCCATTCCCAGCTTGGTAATAATTTCTTGGAACGTGGTACTATTGAGTCCCTTTGTAAGAACATCTGCTAGTTGACCGCCCGTAGGAACGTACGCTCTTTAGCTTCTCCTTGATAAAATGCATGTCTATCTCAATATGTTTAGTTTGGTCGTGTTGCATTGGATTATGTGCAATGCTAATTGCTGATTTATTGTTGCAATAGAGTCTCATACTTCATTTAATCTTCAAGTCTTTCAATATAATCTCCAGCCATAAAAACTCGGCCTCTGCACTTGATCGAGCTATAACATTTTGCTTCTTACTCCGCCATGTCACTAAATTGCCTCCAAGGAATGTACAATAACCTGAAGTAGACCTTTGATCCATTAGGGACCCTGCGTAATCTGTATCCGTGTAGGCTTCAAGAATAAGCTCGGAGTTTCTCTTAAACATTATCCTCTCCCTAGGATTAGCTTTCAGGTAATGAAGCACATGGTAGGCAGCTTGAAGATAAATCTCATTGGGATTATGCGTGATTTGGCTGATGATGCTTACAGAGTATGCTATGTCCGGCCGGGTGTGGGCAAGATAGATAAGTTTTCCAACTAATCTTTGATACATTTCCCTGTCTACTGCTTGATCTTCAATAGCCTCTCCAAGTCTATGGTTCGGCTCTATAGGTATTGCAGTTGGTTTGCTTGCGAGCATTCCAGTTTCCTTGAGGAGATCTATGACATACTTTTGCTGCGAAATGAAAATACCCTGTTTGGAATGAGCAACCTCAATCCCAAGAAAATATTTCAACCTCTCCAAATCCTTGATCTCGAATTCTTTGATCAAACATTGTTTCAAGATTCCTTCTCATCATTCCCAGTCACAATAATGTCGTCCACATAAACGATTAAGGCTGTGACTCCCCCTGAAGCCGAGTGCTTGATGTAAAGGGTGTGATCTCCCTGACTTTGCTTGTATCCTGTAGCCAACATCACCTTGGTAAACCTCCCAAACCAGGTACAGGGTGACTGTTTCAAACTGTACAAGGCCTTCCTCAACTTGCATACCTTATTTCCTTCAACTCCTCCAAACCCGGATGGAATGCTCATATAGATTTCTTCTTTTAAGTCCCCATGAAGAAAGGCGTTCTTCACATCATACTGTTGTAAATCCCAATTAAAATTGGCAGCTAATGACAACAACATTCTTACGGTGTTTATTTTTGCAACCGGTGCAAAAGTCTCTTGATAGTCAACTCCATACGTCTGAGTGTACCCTTTGGCAACTAGCCTCGTTTTGTAGTGCTCCAATGATCCATCAGCCTTAAACTTAAAGGAAAAAACCCATTTGCACCCTATTGTCTTCTTTCCTTTTGGTAGATCAACTAGCTCCCATGTCCCATTTTTCTCCAATGCATCCATCTCAACTCTCATAGCTTTCCTGTATTCTTCCTTAGATAACGCCTCAGATAAAGTATTTGGAATAGCAATTTCATTTAGACTCGTGAGAAAGCTCCTATGGGATGGTGAGAACTTCTTGAAGGATACATAATGAGATAGAGGGTATAGTGGTCTTGTGGTACACTCTCGAGTTCCTTTTCTCACAGCTATGAGGTTCAAGGAGTTGATGTTCTATGTGTAGAGGTGGAGTAGGTTCAGATACCGTTACCTCATTCTCAATAGTCGGGTTGGAGATTTGGACTTGTGCCGGAGCAAAAGCTGGACCTTGTTTCCTTGAGTACATCCTCCTTTTCCTGAATCGTATATAATCAAGAGTCCTATTATCCTGTACAGGAGACACAGGAGGCACAGTTTATGGGTTTTGATCGGACATGGGTGGTCCAGATTCGGTTTGAGAGTTTGACACAAGAGGTTGAGACAGAGAATGGGACGAAGATGGTAGATCAAGTAGGAAAAAATCCTTATCTTCCATGATAGATGACTCCCCCTGAAGATAAGGTTTAGTGAAATACGGTTTCCCTTCTGCAAATGTGACATCAGCTGAGACATAGAGTTTCTTGGTGGGAGGATGAAAACATTTGTAACCCTTTTGTGTGGACGAATATCCTACAAAGACACATTTAATGGCTCTAGGATCTAATTTACCCCGGGTGTTGTGATGAACATGAACAAATGAAGTGTACCCAAATATCCTAGGTGTAAGATTGTTTGTAGCACTGATGTCGGGATAGAATTGAGAAAGAACTTCCATTGGACTTTTTGACCTAAAACCCTTGAAGGAATTTTGTTTATGATATATGCAGAAGTAAGAACTGCTTCCCCCAATAGTGTTTTGGTACATTTTGATGAAATAAGAGTGCTCGAGTAGTGTTTAGGAGATGACTGTTTTTTCTTTCAGCTACCCAATTTTGTTGTGGGGTTGTGATGCAAGCTGACTCATGAATAATTCCCTCCTTTTGGAAAAATGGAGACACGTGATTGAAGTAGTCCTTTGCATTGTCACACCTAAACTTTTTTATTTTAGTACCAAGCTGATTTTGAATAATCATATGAAAACTGGGAAAGACATTACTCACATCTGATTTGTTTTTTAGCAAAAAAATCCAGGTTACTCTAATGCAATCATCAATAAAGGATACAAATCATCGCGAACTAGAAATATTTGGGATTGGAGAGGGTCCCCATATATCACTGTGAATTAAATAGAAATGAGAAGAACATCTTTTATTGCCAATGGGAAAAGATACACGAGTGTGTTTTGCATACTCACAAATATCACAGTGAAATGTTTCTAATCCCTTAAACAAGGAAGGAAACATGATTTTTAAAACTGCAAAAGAAGGACGTCCGAGGCGAAAGTGATGCAACCATATGACATCCTTTTTAGAAGAAGAGAAAAACGAAGAGGATAAATTCGTCCTGATCATACTTGGAAAGTTTGGTGTCTTAAGGTAATAAAGTCCATCCTTTTCCTTAGCAAGTCCAATCCTCCTCCCCGAACCCTAGTCTTGAAATTCACAATAAGAGGGATAAACGTAACATGGCAATATAAGTCTTTTGTAAGCTTTTGAATGGACACAAGGTTGGTGGATAATTTAAGAACATGTAGAATATGGACATTCCCTACTCCGGCTACTATGGTTGTGGTTCCATCAGCAACAGTGATTTTTCTGTTACTTGGACATGGGGTGTAGGTGCTGAATTGATTTGAGGCATATGTCATGTGATTTGTGGCTCCTGAGTCTATAATCCATGAATTTCCAAACAATTGATTAGAAACATTTAGTCGAGGAGAGAATGAATGCTTACCCGAGAAAGCTAAAGAACACTCGTTGGAGGAAGGTTTCTCAAGAGTTCCCAGCAGGTTCCTCAACTTCTCTATTTCTTCACTGTTGAACCCTTCATGTTCTTGTGCCTAATCCTGATTCACTTGTGAGGTCATATGAGCCTAACCTTGTTGTCGTTGCTGCTGCTTTCCTTTATTTACCCACTCACGGCTGGCTGTTGAGGGTTTCCCATGCAATTTCCAGCAGCGATCTCTTGTATGCCTCTTCTTTTTACAGTAGGTGCACCAGAGATCATTTTGATTCGCTCCCTTTGACATTTCTACCTTTTCATGCTCAAATTTTGGTGGCTACTCCAAGATGAGACCCTGTTGTTTGTTACTAGAAGTTGCGAGTGCAGAGCCATCAACCAGTTGAGATTCAAGCATAACTTCTCTTTGACTCTCTTTAGCCCGAATCAACGAAATTGTCTCATTAAGAGACGGTACCTCAACCTTGCCTAGAATCTGAATTCTCACTTGATCGAATTCAGAATTTAGACCTATAAGAAAATCATAAACTCAATCTCTTTCTATGAATATTTTAATTGCTCCTGCACATTCATTGCATTTCAAATCAATCACCCTATAATAATCCAGTTCTTACCACTGGTTTTGTAGGAAATTAGCATATTCAGTCACAATTTTACTCTCTTGTTTTGTGGCTGCCGTCTTGGTCTTGATTTCGTATATCAGCGCTGCATCATGGACTTTATAATAGGTTTGATTCAGTGCATCCCAAATTACCTTTGCGGTTGGTAGGGACATACATGTGTCATTGATTTCAAATGACACAATCATGACATGATCATGGAATCCTCTCCGTCCCATGCTTCAAAATCGGCCTCACCTTTCTTCGGTCCAGTCCTTAATAAATGACTTAAGTTTCTTTCCCTTTTAGAAAGGTCTGAACCAATTGAGACCATTTTAAGTAGTTTCTGCCGTTGAGTCGATATGCCACTTGAATATTCTGTAAATCACCTGTGCAGCGCTGAACCTGTTCTTCCTCTTGTTGTTGGGATGGTTGAACTGAAAGAGTTGAAGAGGTTGTTTCTGACATCTTTTAACAATTGATTATGAAGGATCAAGAGAGAAAAGGAAAAAATTGGTTGAGAAAAAGAAAAAACTGGTTAAGCAGTTTTTCAAGAAAGGAGACTGCAATGAAGGCAGGTCAGGAAAAAATGGCTATGAATGCCGAAAAGAAACAGACTTTAATCTCAGAAAAAACCGAGCCCTATCGCTCTGATACCATGTGGAAAAACGTGAGAAAATTGTATTGAATTTTTGTGATTTACAAGAGTCTCTGGACTATATATACACGGATTTTAAAGAGAAGAATGGCAACTATTCAAAAAAGGAAACTCTATACTCAGGAATTCCTGATTTTCTGTCATCTGAATCCCTAAACTTTAGAAAACAAATATTCACACGATTCCTAGTGCTAACAGACCGCTAATCAAGGAGACGACAAACTGCATCTTTCCACAATACCAATATGTGATATAAATTATACACAAGGCTTGTATATAGATGACACTAATCTAATGGCACTCAGATTCATTTCATTGTGTTAAACTTAAGGGAACTTTTTCTGGACAATGAAGATTATTTAACTGGAAGAACTCATAATAGTTACTCCGTTAACCTTTTCTGTTCTTTGTATGGCAGGTTCTTTTGTCCAAGAAGAAAAAACCTATATTAGATTGATGAAAGCACAAAGCTGTAATTACTAATTTTTATCCTTTTTGAGTGTTTAAGATTTAAGACATGGAATTGCCAGGCAAATAGCAGTTGCCCACCTTCAAAAGCCTTTTTTAATATTGTATGATCAGTTGGTTGGGCGCAAAGTGCCATTTGATGGGCTCATGTCTCCTGCAGTAGAGCTTATGTTGGGTGGGCTTTGTAATCTAATTTATTTGTTGGGTTAATGATATGAAGTATTAGTGTTCACTTTAAAGACAATTTCATTTTATTATAAGATTGATTATCATGTGTATTATAACACACAACTTCGAAAAAAGAATGATTAGAAATTTGAAAAGGTCGACAATATTTGTGTACCACGCAAATATGATCATTATCATAAACATTGCAGCTTTATGATAATGTTCATCATCATAATCAACGAATCAACATATCAGTTACTCTATAGTTTCGTTCATTTCACCAATTCGAGTTTTTAATTTTAGGTTTTTACAGTTAAAAACTATCAGAAAATGTCATATTTTAGTTCGAATTAAAAATTTAAATCTGCGAAGTAAACGATGTCTGATAATTAACAACGGAAGCATAAAAGATATGACCAAGAGCATAATCCCCAATAGACTTGAACTAGGGTTTTATCATTCTGCTTGCTTAGCCAAGTCTGTCGTGAAATATTATATTCGCTTATCAAGGCAGAAATTCATGTTTTTGGATTTATGTATATTAACGCTAATTAATTAACTTAAAGGTAAATGATTAATTTTCTTTTTAAATAAAAATAATATTCACTTGGGAATGACCGTGTAGGACAACCGGCTGTCCAAATCATTTTTCTTGAATTAGATTTTCTCTTTTACGGGTCAACGATTTCCTGTGGTCTATATAATACATTTTTTTTTTTTAAATAAATGTTTTGTTCTGGCAAACATGAAAATGGCGAAACACCAAGCTACCTATATCTGAATATTATGAACAATTTGGGAAAGTATTGTCTCAGTCACATTTCATTATTCTGTCTTTTGTACACATCTTAGTTAATACATTAGATTAACTCGTGAAATCGTCCAGTCCACTTCAAATTTTTCCAGTTTCGTTTAAATACGTGTATGTCGTAATCGTTTTGGGTGTGTTTAGAATCGAGAAATCCTCCTCGTTTTTACTTGTTTTTTGTTGACGGTCAAATTTCGTCAAATGGGTTACGCCGGGTTACTTCCTGGTATCCCGTGAGGTTACCGGTCAAAATTTGATTGTGGAAGTGTAATTGATACTATGAAGTGTGTGTTGTACTTTTGCGGCGGAGAATAACACGAAAAGCAATACTCAAATGTGAAAACACACAGGGTTTATAGTGGTTTACTCTATTAATCAAGAGCTACATTCACTGTTTCGTTGTATGTATTTTCTATTCTCTAATTACACGTGTAAAGGAAAAGAAGAACCCCGTTAGCTTGGGGCTTTGCCCCTCTTTTATAGCCCAAGTTTACTTCATGGGCGGTTTTTCTCTGTAGACCTCTCTGTAGACCTCCACTCAAGTGCCTGCAATCATATGGGCCTAGACCCATAGCCAGCTAATTACCTTTTAGACTGTTCATTCATCTAATTAGTCCTCCATTACGGCTCTACATTCCCTGTAACCCTCCACCGTCCAGTTGTCGATGATTTAAGTACTTGTAATTAATGCCTGCATTACAGACTTCTTCCAAGCGCACACGTTTCCTCAGGGGGTCCCACGTTTATACGGTCGGCTTCCAGCTGGCCTTCTGTATATACAGTCAGCTTCATGAGCCCAGATGAGAATTGGGCTAGGCGCCGCCCTTTACACAGTCGACCTTAACGAGACCCCTGATGTGGGTGAGTTGGGTAAACGCCGAAGTCTTATTAGGTCGGCGGTATGACTAGTCGACGGTTTGGCTCGACATGGTTATTACAGGGCCATGTGGAGCGCTGTTGTTGTCTGACGTGTCAAGGCAAGTTTCCCCGCACAACATCTGCCCCCTAGGTCGAGGCTTTCCTTTGGACTACCTTGAGCTAGGTTGGGACTTTGCACTGGCGCTTCCTTTCGTCTGTTTCGGGCACAGAAACCCAATTCCGAACCTGTTGTCATGATGACCCTGTTACCTTGAGAAGTGCAAACGTCGCATCGGTCCAACTACCACGCTGACGTAGCCCTTTTTTCAAACCGGATGGATGTGGGCCCTTGGATTAGGTTCCTTTCAGCTTCCCGCTCTTTCCCTAATCGTAAGATCAAGGCCTTATGCCCCTACCATTGGATATACTTGCGCACGATTGAGCGATTGGGGATTGAAGGCTGTTATATTTATAAGCGCTCGGCAGGCCAAAACTTTCCAAACTTCCTCTGTCTTGCTGAAACTCTGCGCAAATTCTCCCAGGACTCGCTGCGTTCTTCAATGATATTTCTCCCAGAGCCCGTGCCTTCATCTCACTTCTAAACTCCTGGTAAGGATTTCCTGTCTACCCCTCTTACTTTTACCGCATTTAATCTATCTTGGCTCATGGTAGATTCTTCGAATAGGGAGAAATGACTAAAAATTGGTATAATAGGAGTATTAGGAACTGTTCTGACCTTTATTCACAGTTTTAGAGTAGCCACTGGAACTTTGAGCAGTTTCGGGTTTGGTTAATATTCTGGACTTAGCTTGAACAGTCGCCGTCGCGCTTGAATGGTCGGCGTCTTAGTTGAATAGGCGACGCCTTAGTTGAATAGTCGACGCCTTAGTCGAATAGTCGACGCCTTAGTTGAATGGTCGTCGTCTCAGTTCCTAGCTCTAACCAACCAAGATTACTTGGTTTCTTAGACCCCAAACTGATTTTCCTTCCCCTCGACTTATAGGATTAACCTTAGGTTCTTTCTTCACAGTAATGGCACCTAGAAGAAGGCTACGTCGAGAGGGAGTACCTGTCGTCAGGCCCGATCAGACTCCGGCTGCGGAGTCTTCCTCTATTCATACTACCAGCGACCCTCTCCTAAGGGATGTCGAGGACTACATCTCGGACCCGAGGGATAACGAAGACAGTGTGGACCGAATGATCGACGGTAGTGATGAGGGACATGCCGCCGAAGCTTCCTCTTCTGGTGGTTCTCTGATCGGGGGCTTCGCCGTTGGGATCAGTGGCCAGGATACAAATGTTCTGGTCGCGTCCGTGGGGCCGGACGAGGATCGGCCATGGTTTACGGCCGATCTTGTGGAGCCAAAGACCCGTGATAGGGACATCGTCCACGCGTACCAGAAGGGGCGCGTGAATGGTCGCTGGTTTGAATTCCTCCTGCCAGACCCTCATCATAGGGTGAGTCAGCCTCCCCCATGGTATCTATCTGTATATACCCAGGTCATTACTGTAGGGATGACTCTCCCTATTCATCCATTTGTGAATGACTTTTGCGACCTTCATGGTATCTCCCCCACCCAACTGGCGCAAAATTTCTGATATATTTTTGTCGGTATGTGGATACTTTGGGACTGAAAGTTTGACGTAGAGCTGCCTTTGGACGAATTCCTTTTTGTATATAAGCTCTGCCAAGTCCCTAGATGCGAGGGATGGTATTTCTTGGGTAGTTATGGGCGGTCGGAGCCTAAATTTGGAAGGTTAATAAAGGGATTGCCATCGTCGTCTCACGGATGGAAGCCCATGTTCTTCCTAGTTAAAGGCATGTTCGACGTCCACCCTGAGGATAAGCCCTTTAAACGAAAAGGGGTGAAAAGGTCCTTCGGGATGCTAAGTATGTACCTTCGACTGCTTTGTTGGGAATGATGTCCTAGAAGCATAAGATGTAATAGGATATTTATTATTTATTTAATAAAAGAGTTTATTCATTATTTTATGTACATATATTTATGAATATTTTATGAATATCAATAAAAATTCCATGATTATTTATGTGATCTTAAACATTGTATATAAGTGTTATATACGAGAGGATAATGTTTAAGGATAATAATCAAAAAGTAATGTTCATAATGAATTTAATTAAAGTTCAGAATCTTTAATTAAAACATTATTAATACATGTCATTTCCATTTAGAATGGAACGGTGTTATCCGCACTGTTAATATGATGAGATATTGAATGAGTGTATTTCACATAATGAGATTATGTGGAACAAGGACACATACACAATATGAATTTCTAATAATTTCTGTTAAGTATAAAAATTCTAATTGAGTCTACCGATGGTCATATATAG